GGCGGCGGCTCTGTTCTTATCAGGGGATGTGACTAAGCTGCCATGCTCTGACTCAATACTCTGCTTGACATGAATCCAGTTAAGCCTCAGGTGTGTTACGAGATTTCTCCAATCACATGTGACTCTGAAAAATTGAGCGACACACTAATCCACTGACATAGGCTGCTTTTTAGTCAGATGCACACACACACACACACACACCTGGCATTGAGGAAGATCCACCTGGAACCTGAACAGATGTGTGTTCCTGGAATTCCTTATTTGTCAGTTAAAACTTAGTTTGATTTTGTGCACTATATTAGCAAATGCACGTGTTGGCTGAGCATGAAGGAATATTTCAGACTCGAGGCTCTAAAATAACGTCACTGATCCACAAACCTGTGACTCACTGTACCTTGACTATGATCATTATCAAACTGGAACCTGTCTCAGTTTAGTGTCTTCAGTCTGCAGGATCAGATTCCACATGTTTCCTGTAAAAACTGTGTCTCATTGTAGAGTCCTCATTATTCCTGCATGTAATCTCAGACAATAAAAACAGCTCTTGAGTTAATGCCAGTGTTTGCACAGTTCTCTGCAAACAGCAGCAGAGGACCGACAAATCCCTACAACACGCACCATGTCCGACTCCATAAGCCAAACAATTTATTCTAATCCTCCAGAGATACAGCGGCCCAAGCAAACAACAGAAGAGAATGTGTGTTTCTCCCCAAACAGCAGGACAGTCAGACTGTGACGGGGTAGAGGGGCTGCAGAGAACCACCGAGCTGTGGCCCTCACATGCAGCCGTGCTCCTGTTGTTTTATTGCTGGTTGGTTTTTGTCAAAGAGATGATGCAGAGAGAGACACAGAGAGAGAGAAGGAAAGAGACCGAGAGGCACAAACATAGCACATCAGATGTGCACACACATCACACCCAGAGCAACGTGCAACCATCCTACAGGTGGCAGCAGGCACAAGTGTGTAACACACACATTACAGCAAACACTTATGAAGAGACAGGAAGGAATCTGTGAGGGGAAACACACACACACACACCAACACACTAAAGATGAATGTATGCATGGATACACTCAGTCACATGCACACAGAGACACTAACAAGCACACAAACACTTTTATAGAAACACCTGTGAACCAATCACATTCATCCTCTAAACCTTCCACGTCTGCAGCAGAGCCTCGCGCTCACACTCACTCACAGTCAGGACGACCAGGAGCTTTTTAACCTTTATTATTCTAAGACAATTTGTCCAAACACGTTATTCAACTTCACACAGACCATCCTGCCTCCTGACAACTCGCTGTCCTGCCTCCTTTCATCTGATCAGGAGATTCGAACCAGCAGCCTTGCTGCCTGCTCCAAGCTCCCATCAGTCCAGTGAACAAGCTCTGGTTCCCCTCATGCACTGAGGCTTTTTACATCTTCTGTGCCCGTGAAGCCCAGTGTAACACTTGTCCAGTTTCCATCCAAACGTGGTGCAAAGTTTAGCAGAATTTACAGAAAACCTGCAAAAGAAAATATTAAAGACAACACATCTTCCTCCACTACTATTATGCCAAATCAGGAGTCGAGCACACAGCGATGAACAACTGCTGGCGCTCGTTCTCCACTCAGGTGCCATTAACGCAGAGTTCAACGAGCACTTGGAAAAGTCACGAGTGTAATGTTTAATTTGCAGAGTCTGTTTCCACTGCGCTCTGTTTATCAGCACATCTACTGTTCTGATTCATCCAAACCTTTTCCCACAAAATTGCAACTTTTATTCAAATTTCCATTTCTACTCTGGCTTTTTATGCCCAGTTTATAAAAGCACATCGGTGACGTTGGTTAATCTGTACCAGAACGGCTAAAACATACTGTTAAAATGTGCTGGTCACAGACCTGAAGCCTGCTCACAGCAGACAGACTGAATGCAAACCCTGAACCGACAGCCTGTTGAAACGCTGTTAAATCACCTTAAAGTTGGGAATTTGGTATTACAGTAGTTTCTAAAACAGAAATGTGAAATAAAGGAAAACTATTCTAACAGAACTTATTTGTTGGCCACTCCAACACAACACTGACACATCAGCACCTGTTCAGTTGTGTTAACTTCCTGATTCCCACCTCCAGCAGATACAACCTGCTCCTCCGTGCACAGTGTGTCTGTGTCCCCCTGATGAACCTCGGCCCACTGACCCCTCTCTGTTAGCTCTGCCTGCTGTTTGCTGCTGACGGACCCAGTGCACATTGTTTTTACACTGTCATTTGATGCATTATTATAAAAGTATTGCTTATAGCTCTGTTAAAATGCACAAAGACCAAAAACATGAGGTTTCCTGAGTTTTCAGTCTGTCTGTTGTGACTGAGAGGTGAAATCTGATGAAGGTTTCAGGTTCCTCTCAAAGTCCTGATGGAGACACACTGAGGGTTTTGGGGAAGGAGGCCAGAGAAAAGAGATGATCACCTGCTGACATCCACAAAACTCTGCCTCAGTCTCAGCGTCTCACTCTAGAGGGATGGCGGTGCTTAGTGGTCACACGGTGCCAAGACGCAGAGGAAACATGCACTCACACAAACAGAGATTTGGTTTTAGAGGCAGGGCAGCTCAGGGTCGTCTTAGTGGGGGAGCGAACGCTCAGTGGCTGGAGGAGTGTTGGCAAAGTGTCAGCCAGTTTCCTCCCCGTCACCTGAGCGTCTCAGAGGAGCACGCCGTCATTAGACTGCTGAGTCAGAGCAGACAGTGAAAACAGGCCGCCAAGGTCAACTCTGTGTGGTGATGAGAGGATACAAGTGTTTTACAACAAAATGAGCAAAACAAATGAACAAAATAAATGCTGTATTGTGCATAATGCTCTCACGGAGCCTACACTGCACGGTTCTGCTGCGTACACACACACATGCCACCACGGTTGGCCTACAGCAACCTCATTAATGGCATTAGCAAGTCCCGAACTGTTAGCAGTGTAATCGCTCTGCTAATGCATAATTGATGGGCATTCATAATGGTGGGGGTCATGCATTATTCACAGCAGCTCTATGGGGCTGTGTGCCACTATTTACTCCACATTATGAAGCTAATATGTCAGTTATGGGGGGGTTATGGGCCACGAGAGAGAGCTGTAGAGAGCAGAGAAAAAGGACAAACCTTCCACAGGCTCTGATATTTCTGGGTGATGCTTTATTTTGCATGTAAATCCAGTGTATTAATCTCCTGATTAGTTCCCTGGAAACAGTCACACAGTTTGGTACTAATTACAGGGAAAACACAGAGTGTCAGAAAACGGCGCGCGTAGTGCGGCCGAAAAGTGTTATTGTGAACTCTATTAAATGGCCAGACGAGGAAGTGTTTAACAAAAACCGTCTCTTTATTAAGAGAACTGAAACTACCAACAAAATCATACAAGACACGGTTGACACAAAAACTCACGGTCAGTATCGGTCCTAGGTCAGAGCCAGCAAACACGTACATCCAGGGGAATCCAAAGTGCGTAGTCCGAGGGGAAAGTCCGATAAGCCGATACACATGAGCAGTCCGGAGGGACAAACCGCTGGTGTAACCGGTGTATGTGCCCTCAGAAATGAGTCTGATCATATCAGGGAATGTTGTCAGGGTTAACACATGTGTTCAGCTGAGAGCTGGAAGAAGTGATAGGAATGACGTCGTACAGTGTGACAGAGTTGTGGTTGTGTTGTGCAGCTCACCCGAATCCAGCTGAGACTCTGGTAGTCGTACAGAGATTCATACTGGAAGGCCAGCTCCCTGCACAGAGGAATACCGTACTCCCAGCACTGGAGGGGACACACACACACGACTGTTTTCATTCCTTGTGGACTGACTTAGATTCACCCTAAGGTTAACCAAGACCACTACTTGCCACAGCCCTAACCTTAAATCATGTTGTCACTCTAAAATCCAGTGGTTCACATGATGGTAATCCACCTGAGGTCGCCATCAGGGACGCTGAGTCACCACAGTGTGGTAATCCCAGACACCGACACTTCCTTAACCGACGACCACAGCTTCTCCTTTGTCTGCTGTGACACAGAATTTATCTGTGCGGTGCCACCCCACCCCACACAGATGGTGGCGCTGTCCCTGCAAAGCACTGCTCTGGCCATCGGGAGCAACTTGAAGTTCAATGTCTTGCTCAAGGACACTTGACATGTGGACTGGGGAGAATGGGAATCGAGCCACCGACCTTCTGGTTAGGGGACGACCACTCTACCTTCTGAGCCACAGTTGCCCCAAGTTTTAAGCTTGAATTAAAACCAGGAAGTGATGGCACTGGGACTCTGCTGGCCTCGCCGTGTCGCTGCCAGGTACCATCACCCTGGAGACAAAAAGGAGCATCAGGGCAAAACTGATGAGAAAAGACCAAATATTCTTAGAGACATCAGTGTAGTAATAGAAGTCACACACAGTTTGGAGGAAACCTACGATCAAATTCATGGTGTGTAACAAGTATTTTCTCTCTGAACACTGGTTCTCAGTTTGACGTGAGAGAGATGATTTCATTTGTCTTGATCATGGTCTGATTTACTGACAGTAATTCTAAGTATTATAGTTTGTTGACAGGGAACATAACTGATTAAAGGTTGAACACAGAGCACCATAGAAAGGCTGTTCATCCATGAAAATCATCTGTGACAGCAGATCTTGTGTTTCTGTTCCCAAAACAGAAGGACTGCATCACATTTAGTCTCTTTGACAGTTTTGTGTTGCCACAGACTTCAGTGTTAAACCTGGAAATGTTACACATCCCTTTAGATTCTTTCCCTGAATATTTCCGTCTGTCTGTGAAACTTAAAAGTGAAATGTACTGATTACATAAATCATGTATGTGAAACCTTTTAAAGGTTCTGTTTGTGCTGAGTGGCCTGATTTTGGGCGACACCGTCCTGAAACACAGTAACGCACGTCCATGTCCTTCTGATGTTGAGAGATGGAACAGTAAAGAAGTATAACTGATAAAATCAGCTGAGCAGCACAGTAACAATGTGTGGAGTACACACATTTACTGCAGTATGTGCCTGTTACCTGTGTGGTGCTCTGTTGTACGCTGTGTCTGCTGGACAGATGCTGTGAAGACACAAAGAAACATCATCATGTCAGGTGATAATAATCATCTCCTCTCATCTGTCCTTGTTTCCTAACCTCACATTGCCCTTTGCATTCTTTGTGTCATGTTCTAGTTTCCCTTCCTCTCCATTTCCTCTCCTCCTCCTCTAGCCTCCTCATTTTCATCCTCCTTTGGTTTTACTCCATTCCTCATTTCTTCTCCTCTCCTCTTCTTGACTTTTCATTTCCTTCCCTTCCCCTATTTCCTCTCCCTTCTTTGTCTCCTCCCCTCTTCTTGCCTCCTCTCCAGCTCTATCATTTCTCTGCTCTATTGTATTCGATTCTGTTCTCGTCATGCTCTTCCTCAGACAATGGAAACGCTTAAACGCCTCAGAGGCTCATTACTCGTCTCTAAACCTCTGGAGGGTCTGTGTGAGAAGAGAAAACCTGTTTGATGAACTGAAGTAAGGCCAAAAAAACCAGCTGCAAACATTTGTCCTCGTCATCCTAAAGGCACCAGTGAGAAAGGTTTTACTGCTTCAACATCAGCACATTGTGGAGATTATGTGAGATTCCTTGTTTCCATTTTAATGGCCATTGTATATTCTGTAATTAATATCTTTACTGCAGCTTCACTGTTTTATTATCCACACTGACATTTTCATATTTCAGTTGCACTTTAGTCACATCTAGGTGCAACTCAGGTAAATCCCAGTAAATAATGCAGAGATGCAGCAGATGATTATTTCCATTCCTGAATAACCAGCTGATTATTTCCTTGATAAAACTTCAGAAAACAGTGAAAAATGCCAACTAAAACCAGCCCAAGCTGAAATACGTCTTGGACCTGTTTTATTTGACTAGGAATCCAAAACCCAAAAGGTTTTGACACTTTTGCTTGGAAAGAGAGACTGATTGTAAACGTAGTTGATCGATTAGTCGACTGATTACTGCAGCTCCAAAACACTTTGGTTCATATTTAGTGTATAGAAGGAAAGTTTCTTGTTGCTCACTTTATATTCTACTTGTGTTTTTCGTCTGATGCTGAATCTCATCCTGCTGCTGTGATCAATGGACTTTTATTTCACCTCGTGCTTTCTCTTCCATCGTGACCTTTTCCTGGTCAAACTGCACGACTGGGACCGACGCACAGGAAAACCATCATTTCCATAAGAGGAAATGAGAAATGAGAAACAGGGATGAAGGTGAATTATAATTTCATGTCTGTCTCTTGTTTGTGTGTCTGTGTTTCTTTTTTCTTTTGATTGTGCACATCTGTTCAGAAAACATTCTGGGTGTGACGCTCACACCTGGTGTCACTGGAAAAGGCCGCTCTACTCTACAGATGTTCGTAATGTTTATCTCCCGTTCTGCACCCCCCACCCTCGATCTACCAACTTCACCACTTTATCTCTGCCTCTCTCATCCCGTCTCCAGATCAGTCTCCAGGCAACAGAACAAAGGGGGAATCGCCACAACTACAGTGTTTTACTGGTAGAGCTCAGCTATTTAAAGCAGGACTGATGTAAGACAGAACATCAAGTATCACCAAGAGACCATGAACAATTAACAATATTACTCATGCTGCAGCAAATCACTCCTACTTTAAGTAGCTCTGGGTTCTGTCCCTTCAGTTTCTCTTAAACCCAAAAATCTGATGCAACCAGAGCCACAGATGATCCATCTATAATATGACCACAGAGAACAAATTATACAGCACAAATATTTTATGACAGTTAAAAATCAGGGGCTGATGCAAGGTGAGGTAGAATCAGACATCAGTTATTACCTTTACCAGTAGTTGGTGACAAAGTTTCCATGTTAAAGTCCAAGATACAGTATGTCACATGCAGCAACTTACAGATGAAAGAAAATCCCTCCTGTTTGTCCTTTTTTTAACATTCATATGCAATTAGTGTTCCTGATATTGCAGCATAACAGCTCAAATATCAGCCACAGCCAGCTTACTAAATGGCCCAGCTAAAGACAGATCTAAAAACTCTCCTGGTCTCCTCTCCTCTGTTTCCTCCTGTTTTGGCTGTTTAATCCAGTGATTCCTCCTACATGAAGGTGATAATGTTCGGCTTGTCTTCACACTATTTCACAGAGGTGTTGGTTCACCTGTGTATCACTGCGGAGGCTGAAGGTTGTGTTGCTATTGAACTGTACTGTGTTAGACAGAGAGGAGTTATCTAGCTGTTAGTCGAGCCTCATTACACAGTTGAATCAACATTTCTCTGAAACAGTGTGAAGACAAACTGAACATTATCACCTTCATGAACAAAGGAAGGAGATCAGACTGAGTCTTAGCTGGGTGTTCCTAATAAACTGGCACCTGAGTGTATATTGCTGTAAACAGGGTCATTAACGGGTCCTAAGTCGAACAGTAGCAGGACTGTAGCTTGTTCAGATCCTCAGATCAGCTGATGCTGGATGTGTGTGTGTGTTGATTTGCTCAAAGTCACCAGTACAGGACTGGGACGGTACTGGAAACCTCCCTGCTGAGAAACTGAATGTGAACATATTAAAACAAAAAGCTAGAAGCTCAGCTAGCTATCATTTCATCCATGAAGATTTGCCTGTGATGGTGGTGGCAGTGTGCTGCAGAGGTGAGTGAGGAGCATTTAAAATGCCCAAAAGTAAAGAACAAACTGAAGGTGTCAAAGTTCCCGTTTGTAGGAAAAGGTGCTGCTGACGTTAACCTGACCAAATCAGACTGGAAGCTGTTGTCACACAGGATGTGAGGGGAGTAACGGCAGAAAGGAGGAGAGGACAAGACACCAAGAGACGGCTGTATGTTGGCCTTTGCTAATAAAAAGCTGCTTCGTCCTGGACTGAATGAAGGCGTGAGGTTGTGAATGCTACCTACCATTTTATAAAGATCTGAGACACTGATCTGGTCTTCATCCACCATCTCAAACTCTTTTCTTGGCACCAAGTCCAGACCCAGGTGCCTGAGAGAGGGAGAGACAAAGAAATATCAGTGTGTTTTACATAACGCTCACACAAACCTAGGTACATACACCTACACACCAACACACACATGCATGTGGTGTATTATGGGTATTTCAGATGCAGCCTCCAGGTTGTTCCTGAGGATGAGTGTTCAGTCTCAGCAACATCTTTCACATACAGGTCAGTGACCCTGGTCTTAACAACAGTAAACCGGTTCTTAAACTGTGAATGAGAAACAAGGCGTCTGTGTTATATATTGGAACTGCAGTGAGTTTGGTCTGACTGGGCCTCCTCAGTCAGAGGGAGCACCACCCTCCGGCTGATGTAGTTTAAAGGTTTGTCCATTAGAGTTTAGTTGTGTTGCTCTGCTCAACAAACAGCACAGGACACCTCTGATGCACAAAGCTCAGACACACTGGTGCGACAGTGTATTTCATATAACTGGGCTGCACATACATTAAAGTGATGCTTCTTTAAAAACTAGAGGCAAAACCACACACCAGCATCGTCATCATCTATTAACCTGATTACCTTTTTATCATTCAATGAACTGACTGTTTGGTCAGTAAATTGACAAACAGTGGAAAGTGCACATCACACAGTGACGCATGTGAACGGCTGAGTTTGTCCAAACAACACATTGCACTGAGTCATATTAAAGCAGCAAATCCCCATGAGAAGCTGAAATAACAAATGTTTGGCTGAATTTCTGCTTGAAAAAGACTCAGACTATTAATACATCATGAATTAACCACAGATTCAGTGTCTGCTGATTAACCATTAATCAACTAAGCCTGATACGTCTCCAGAAAGAAGAGACTTTCTTATAAATTTCAAACATTAAACAAAACATCAAGGCATCTGATGCAACATGAAAAACTAATTCACCGTCTGATATGTTGTGTATATTCCCTGATCCTGGCCTCAGACCTGGAGGATGCAGAGGAGCTTGTTTACCCATCAGCCTGGAAACTAACGCTGCTGCTCGGTTTGTCTGACACATCACTTCTGTCGCCATCTGAGGACTGAGTTAGCAGCGACCTGCTACTCAGCATCAGCAGCTCTTGGCTTGTTTTTGAGGCACACTGCAGCTTAAAATGTGTGCTAGCTGGTTCTCACTCAGTTCACTCAATGCAATTTCCCAGATTGGGATTAATAAAGTATTTCTATCTATCTAGCTCTTGTCTCTGGGTTTGGAGGTTAGCTCATTTTTCTGGCCACCCACCGACTCACTTTAATCAGCCCATGACAGCTGCAGCTCATGTACAGACCACATCACAGGACCAATACTACTTGTACTGTAGTATCACTGTTTACTGGGTCCTTCTAACAACTGAAAAACATCCCAAGTACACCCAGTACTGTTACCATCACCCTCCTCTTCGGCCACTATCCTACTAAATAGACTCTGTGATTTTGGGATATTTACTGCCACGGTCAGTCCTAACTCTGCTCCTATTCACGTTTCCTGAGCCACGTGTTCCTGATGTGTGTATGAGAGTGTGTGTCTCACTCATTGCCCCAGTCCAGTCGGACGGTGATGTGTCTCTTCACGTCTCGGCTCTGGTCCTGTGTCAGGTGACCAGACAGCAGCTGCCGTCTGAGGTCGATCAGCTCCATCATCACGTGGCGAACCTTGTAGAACAGGTCCACCTTGTGTTTCTGATGCACACACACACAGAGGGATGGTTAGACCCATATTGTTCAGCTGATAAAGGAGCTGAGTAAACTGTCACTCCCACCGGGCCGTTCCTGTGGTGTCTTATTAAAGGCACTGGCTGAGAACAAGGTCATTGTTTTAGCTGCTTATTCCTGTGGAGCCTCACAGAGACCACTGGAGCCTGATCACATCATATCATCAAACACATGCACAGTGTCCAGGCCACCTGCCATGCAAGTATTCAGGACAAGGAACACATAAGGAGAACGTCCCCCAAAAAGGCAGGAATCACACCCTGGACCTTCTGGTGATGAACAGCTGATGTCCTCGGCAGAGGGAACGGCGAGGTGTGGGACCAACATCAGCTGTAATAATGGCCAACGTCTGCCAAGTGCTGCTGTTTCTGTTCAACACAATAAGGTTTAATCTTCATCTCTGGGAGCTTGTGACTTTTTTCTGACATTTTATTACATAATGACAAGCTGACAAAAATAACTGATACTTTTACGTTCATGTAATCATGACGACTGCTGAACTGCAGATGCTAAGTGTGTCTGAAGACGAGGAAAGAGCTGTGAAAAACTTGGTGATACATCGACTATGTATCACATTTAAAGGTCTGTGTCTCTGATATACAGGAGAACCATTACATAAGTGTGGCAGCGGTGGAGGTGGAGCTGTTTTTGGGAACCTCAGGTATAACACAACAATATCAGAGTCAGGTGAAAACAGCTCTGATATCGAGCGTTGACTTGCCCTGCAGGCTTCTCGATTGTTCTCCCAGTGCATGCTGGGACAGCCTTAAACCCTGACTGGGAATAAGTGAGTGCTGAGATTAGACGGAAGCTGGATTGTTCCACGAGCACAACCAGGACTCCCTGATCTTTAAACATGCTTGTGAGGGTGTGGATGGGATCGGAGCCTGGTCTTATTTCCCCAGGTATATGTCAGTCTGATGTCTTTTAATAAAGGTAGCTAATTTTCATGTAGGTGCAGTCGAAGTGTGACCTACTTCTCCAGCGTCACTTACCAACTCCTGCAGCTACACACTGAACTCACACTAAGCACACTGCCAGGACAGAGTGAGCGACATTTCAGGGCTAAAACAAATAAAGGATACATCTGTCATCTCCTTGTGGTGAGTAGCTGAGTTTATAAAAGGTCATTTAAAACACGAAATGATCCGCTGAGCTCTGGTCCCTGTTGTAACAGGCCTGTGTCCACAGGGAAGCCCTTTTCTCAGCACTGCCGGCCGTTTCCCAGTCGTTCCTGTTGGGAACCCTGTGGCACCAAATGATTAGCACGATTTTATCGGCGAGTGCTCCAGGTTAAAAATAGTACAACTTTTAGCCAAAGAGTGCCATATTTCAAATGGATTTTCACTCGTTGCTTAGCAACAAGAGTCACGTGCAGCAGTTCCCCTCAGCATCTGATCAGTGTTTGTTTTTAAGGAGACGTCCAGTGGACGCAGAAGCCAGTGCTCTCTGAGGACCTGTGTTAAAATTCAGCATGTAGCATTAATGATGCAACAACATCTGCCAGAGAGCAAGATTTTACACATCATCTTAATGACAGAGAAAAGTACACTTCTTTTCATCAGTGATGCAAACATCAACTTTCTTTTCTTGCTAATTAATACCTACATCAGACAAAGGTGAAAAACATGAGAAGTGCCAGCGAGAGGTTTTCAGAAACTGAGCGGTGAAAAGGATAAACCCAAAGAGTTCCTCTGACACGGACATAACAGAAAAGAACCATGTGAAGGTTGGTGATTAAATGAACAAACAACTGCTACAAACATTCATGACGAGTCGAATCAAGTAGTTACTTGTCCACTCAAAGCACTACACGTGATATTTGAGCTAAACTTCGCAAGAGCTACTGTCAATTAATGAAAAAGTGAGTGAATATGAAGTAAAAAAACAACAAACAGTAATTTGTCAGTGTCCACACAGAACGTCTGGAAACTAGACTACAAGTCATGATGCTGTAAAGCGGTGGGACCGTAGTGTGTCCGACACCAACGAACACTTGCCTGTGCTCGGTCTGCACATTGACTGAAATAAGTAAAGAAACCATCAGTTCATCACATGCACAGCTTAGGAATTGTGGGGTGGGGATTAGATGTTTCTTCTTTTGTTTTAGGCAAATCAAACACTTCACACCACCTGTGAAGTGTTTGATCAACACCACCTGCCAATTTCCAAAATACAAGACAACTTACTAAAGAAAATATCACATCTGTGGAGTTTAACTATGAAAAAGATTTCTGCACCACATTCAGGAGCTGGAGACCATCCTGAGACCATCCTGCATTCACTGAGCTCGCTGTAGATATATAGCCATTTACAGCATCGGGGTGGTCCTCAATCACAGCAGCAGCACAGGAGTCAGCAGCACAGCCCCAGACACTGAACAGACACAGACTCAGAGACACACACACATGCGATACACACAGCTCGTATTTACAGGAGCAGGAGCGGGGTCCACAAACGCCTTTCCACCAGAGAGCTGCCCGGCACTGGCTGTTCGCTGTCGGTCACTGCAGGGGAACTGTAAAATATGTGTCTGGCTCAGCTCCCCATCAACATGAGGAGAAAGCCTGTGAGTCATTCTTCTTTAGTGCTACAGAAAAACGTCTGACTACAGGCCTGGAGCAGTAAAACCTGCACAAACGAATACAAGTAAAAGCTGTTAATTTCAGCGTCAGGCTCCAGTGCAGTAATGTAAGTTAGAACAAGCTGGCTGTGACCCATAGCAGCAACTTTACCAAACCTTTATGAAACTTCTTTAGTCCCACCATTACCAAGCTGGTGCAACAAGTGAACTATGACACATCCACTGGGAGGAAGTCCATACTCAGCTGATCCACCTTGAAGGTCGTTCATCAGAAAGGTAAAGCAGATCATTTAACTGCAGAATGTGTAGCCATAACGTGTGAGGCACCAACAGGCTCACGGCTCAGCCACTCAGGGCACACAGTCACGGCTACTCAAGGCCGAATCAGGAATCAGGCCACATGAATACAAGACCCCCCCTCTGTCTGAGACCAATTTATCTTAGCTTGTTGCTATTTTATTCCTAAACAAAGCTGTATTTAATAGAATGGTGTCTAACTAACTGACACACAGGAACCTGGTGCTGTGTTCACTGGAATGGATGAAAACTCAAAGCTGACCTGCTCTGACCAACAGGGACAGTGTCACCAGATTAACTTGGCCATGCAGCCACGAGTGGAAACATCCCAGTGAGTTTTAACAGCAAAACACAGTCGCTGCCTTCCACAGCATTTAACACTGTGTAATACAAAATGACTGCTGCCATGAAACGTAGACCAGATCTGGGTGTAGCTCCATTAAAGGTCTGCAGCTGAATGTGTTGCTGAGCCTCCACCACTGTGAATGTGGACTGATGATGGTGGTGAGATGGAAGCTCAAAGATCAAAATACAAAGTGGCGGCATGTTTAAGGACTCGTGATAATTTTACTGATGAACACTGGAAGGGTTGTTCAGTCCAGCGCTGCCACAGAGCCAAACTGTGAGACACAGCAGTGACTAGCTCACACAGCTCCCTCCAGTTGAAATACTGTTTTCATTACCCAAACACAATGAGCAACACCGGCAAAGAACGGTCAAGTCTGAGGCGACCGTGAGCAGTGGATTTAAACCGAGGACTGCAGATTTGGGACATCTGGCCATCGCCGTCAGTGGGAGGATGTGCTGCGACTTGTGACCCTCTTCTGAGTCAGTAAACAAGAGTTGGAACAGGTGCACAACAGGAGGGAGCCGAACCTCCTCTCCACCTCTGGCTGGCCCCAGAATACACCCACGCACAGCACAGGTAGAGATCTATGGTGCTTCCCCATCTGTCCTTAGGAGAAAACAGTCTCACATGTATGACTGAGCACTAATGTTTTTTTAGCTGCAAAGTGAAAATCTCTTTTGTGTCGACCGTTTCCCTCCCTCCTACCTCCCTCCCTCCCTCCCTCCCTCCCTCTCACTGGCTGCAATGAGTAATCACACCTTCACATCCTGCGGGAACAAATAAACAAACACAGGCAAACACCGTTTAGCACATCTTTACCACTTGAGCACCATAAAAGCAGCCGAGCATATCTCAGATAATGATGCTGTTTGTTGAATCCATCCTGGTTCATTGGACCTGATATTCAGAACATCTGGATATCAGTTAGGAAAAACAAAACACAATGAGATGCATACAATAAAGTTCACAAAGCCACACAAAAGCACGGTGTAACACTGAGCAGCAAGAGAAGGGACACAGCGGCTCATGTCGAGCAGCTTCCTGCAGGGCTGCAGGGCGCACCGCTGTCGGCTCAGTCGTACTATAAAGACCTTAATCACTCTGACAGGCCACAAACCAGAAAGGACCTGCCACAGCATCTCCCTCCCATTAACAAACACCCCCACAGTTTCCTCCAGAACATAAACCTACTTCAGTGGTTTATCAAGCTGCGGGTCAGGGACCAGAGGTAACGATCACAGCTCCACATTAATACAGAGCAAGATTTTATTTTGCCTGACAGCTCCAATATCTAATGGGACATTTGCAACACCTGCCTGACAAATAAGAAAACAAAAGGCGAGTTCTGAAGTTCCATTTGGTTTCACTGGGGATACGAAGCATCTGGTTCAAATACTGGAACAGAAAATTAAATTCATAATATTTCAAAGAAAAAAAGCCAAAAAAATCCTAAAATGCAAATCATTTTTCCTCTGACTGATAGCACGTTATGTTGAGCTACGTATCAGTGTAACATCACGAACACTTGTCAACCCGTGGTCTAGTGCTACGTACAGTGTCCACAGGTCATCAGTGGGGAGCCTGAACAATCCAGTCAGGTCTGGGCTGTACAATCAAAACAGGGAGCTGGAAGATAAAATCCTGACCATGCTAGGTGGCTAATGCTACCAAAACAAACAGGTTAGCTAACACATCCAGAAGGAAGAAGGCCACATCTGGATCCAGTCTGAGTCCTCT